ATAGTTCCATCCATTGGGATGGTCCTCAATGCAATAGCATTTCTACAAACTTACATACATATAACTAAAATGCACAACAAAAATATAAATGAAAGAGCACATTAATAAAAGATACCATGAGCTTCTCCTATATTTCAGTGAATGTTGAGCATGGAAGCTCGGGGTAGGTGAAGAATGAGTTGTAAATATTTGCTCTTTGTACTAAAACTCCAATATAGTTATTGAGTTTAGTGGCCTAAGTACTCTTTGGCACCCTTATTTTACTCCAGTCAAGAACAACTCTTTGTCTCTTTGGTGTTTCCTTTGTTTTAGGCTTGCTCGCACTGCATCCCTTCTTCTTGGGTGGAGGCTCACTACCTACTAAGACAATGAGAAAAAATATTAATAACTTTAAAATTTAAATTGCAAAAAAATAGAATTATCAAATTTACTCTTCTCAATCTATCTATCTTTCATTGCAATTACATTATCTTTTTTAGTCTTTATCAAATCACCACACTCCAATAATTTTCTTGCTGCGGATGGATTGAGCTTGTTAGATCTAGACTTATATTGAAATGCAGCTGGCGGTAATGGGAAATGGCAAATATCATGTGCAAGTGGTCGAACAATGGTCAACGGGTCATCTCAAGAAAAAGATGGTGTTGAGGAACCACTAGTAAAATTAAAGATAATAATCAAAACAAAAACATTATTTAAAACTATGCATTATTAACTGGACCAGTCACCCATCCCTGAAGAAAGACATGTAGTTGTAAGTATTATACATGTTTAAAAATAAAAAAATCGTTTTCAACAATTTGAAAAAACCCAACTTTTTTATATGCAATATACAAGGGGATTGATATGCACAGTCAAGAATATCTTGTTGAAGGATCCTTATTTTAAAGAACCCGACTTTTATCTTTTTGTTAGGTTTTCTTAGTTTTTGGACTTTGGTTTTCATCCTATATATACCCCTTATTGTTTTACTTCTGATATCCATCCAAGTAGGTTTTAAGAAGAGTTTTAATTGGTTTAAAAGTTTGTTTAAGTTTCTTCTCAAGTTTGGTGTTTGTTTACAAAGAGGAAGCTTACATTGTCAATTGAGAAATTCATCCTCATCAATTTCATCCTCTCCTTGTGTTTATAGAGAAGTTTTTCTAACTCATTTATCTAGCATTTTATTACTGCTTTTCATATTCATATTATTGCTAGTTTGCTATTTGAGTTAGATTTTTTTGAACTCATTTTATCACACACATCCCTATTTGAGCTTCTAGGATTACATACAATATATTGTGGGTTGTGGTGAGTAATATTGTGAGAATGAGCTTCATTGTGTTCTCATTCATTTTTAGAGAACAATTTATTGTATTTGAACTTCATTTGTGAGTATCACCTTGTAATATACATTTAAACCGAGAGGAATGTGTCGTGAGGACGTAGTCGATATCAAGAAGAGTGACATCGGTAGTAAAACCTAATGAGAGGTAGTAAAGCCAAGCACTTGAGGGAGACGATACGTGAGGACCAACACTTGATGTTGTAGTTTGTGTATGTACATTGTGAGTGTTTTGTAGAGTTTTCGGTGAACTAGAAAACCGAGTGTGTAGAGAAGTTCCGGCTTTCAAACAGGGTGTGTCGATATAGTGGAGATCTCATCGAGGTGAGGAGCAGAGACGTAGGTTAAGGGTTGATCGAACTCCATGATCATATCTTGTATTCGAGTTTGCTTTGTGTATATTTATTTTGTGCTTGTAACTTACATTCTTGCTCATAACTCATTCATATATCTTTTGCAAGAATTAATTAATCAAGAAAGTTTTTAATTGGCATAAAATCGGAATTGGATTAACATTGACCCTATTGATATGTAAGAGTCTCTTTGCTAAGTGTTTTAATATGTAAAAGTCTCAACATAAATGAGAACTTAGAGAACTCAGTACAAATGTCATACGAGTCCTTTTAATTATCTTTGGCATTGTCAGTTTCATCTTCGGTATCATCTTCGATATCAACTTCGATATCACATTTGGTAGGAATAGCTAAGATATCATTGAACACTGTTTATGTATTATCTATCCTACCATGATTTGATGCACCTATATGCAAATCCAGTTCTTCTTCGATGTAGTCTTCCCCGTGAAATGACTAGTATTTATAACTCTCATCAAATCCTGAATTGGCTAAGTGCTTTGGTATTTCACTATTATGCACCAATGTTAATTTTCTACACGTACAAAAAAGGCAATATTCTTTGGATTTGTCATGGAAAACTGCATAAAGGCGTCACATCCATCCTTGTATCAATTGTCACGAAACCTTTGAACACGAGGAATATCTACCCGTCTTATCTAGAATTATCCTCATTCGTATATTGCGTCAAAGTATTAGCTTTTCATTATAATATATACATGCATCCATTATATGCATTCATAATTTACTAAGACAAATAAAATTCTAAATTTAAAAAACTTAGGTTGATCTAGACACTCTAGCGACTATCATAGGAAAAGCTTTTATCCTGTTAAGACTACAATAGCGTATACATCTATCTTTGTAAACTTTGTGCATTTTCATATCTAGAAAATTTTGGCAGCACCTACCGTTCTCCGGGTACACTGTGCGGATGTTATTATGCTTAATGGCAATGGACCGAAACGCAGAACAAAATACATTTGTTGTACATAGAGGACAACGAGTAAGTGCTGCTGAAACTTTCTAGAAATGAAAATGTACAAAGTGTACAAAGATAGGTGATGCACTACCATATTCTTAACCTGTCCGAACTGAACAAATCCAATAATTACGATTTCAAATGCCCATCATCTTCTACTTATACCATAACATACACGATACTTTTTGTATAGAAAAACATAGTTTCATATCAAAAATGAGTCGTATATCTTATATTACACGTCCAAATGATTTACAATAATTATTGAATGGGAGCTTATGGATAATGTTTATTTTTTTATTACCTTATGTTGGATTTATAACGCATTGTTGTATTATATATCACACTAATTTTGAAAAACATTGTTTGATTAAATCACACTTTTACACATCACAGACAAACTTATAAAACACACATATAGCACATATACATAGTTGATTAGGTAAGTAGAGTTAAAGATAGTTTTATTTAATGTCATTAGTACTATTAAAGTTATTAGGGCCTAAGTTGGTCTTAATAATATTATTAATATTATTTGAGGAATTAGTCTAATGTCATAAGGATTGTTATGATAATTGACCCAATTTGATCATAGGAGCTAGGCTTCGCATGGTAATTAGCATATTTAGGGTAACTAGGAGTAGGTTTAATAATTAATATTTCACTTTTTTGGTTTAACAAGATAAATTAATTAGCGTCCCAATAAATTATGGCTAGGCTCATATTAGAGTTATTATCCTAATTAGATAATATATGTAATTAGTGTTAGACTTAGCTAGGGTTAGGGTTAGGCCCATGTATTGATGTTTAATTTGGAATTAAAAAGATATATAATTAGTGTTTCAATGGTTAAAGGTAGGATGAGGGTAATTAGCCTAAGCCTAACATAATTAGTGTTAGGTCAATTGGACTAATTACAGTCGGGTTTATTTGATTAATTAGGGTTAGGTTCATTGGATTAATTAGGGTTAGGTTTTTGTAATTAGTGTTTTCATGAATAATGTTTAAATATGGAATTAAAAAGATATGGAATTAAAAAGATATGTAATTAGTGTTTCAATAATTATGGGTAGGCTTTGGGTAATCAGCCCAAGGCTAGCATAATTAAGATTACGTTTATTGGAGCTAGCATAGGGTCAGGTTTTATTAATTAGTGTTTAAAGTTAAGGTTAACAAGATATATTAATTAATCTTGTCATGTTTAGGGTTAGGGTGTCAGGACCGGATGAACAGCCAGAGGCCCTGTCAATTGAGCCAAGGACCTTGGAAGCTTGGAGGACTGATAGCTCGAGCAGGAACTGGAGATGGCGCAGGAGATGAAAATTGTCAGGAACAGGTAATAAGCTTGAGAACTTGTCTATTGAGTTGGAGAACAAGGCTGTGTCAATTGAGCTGGAGAATAAGTTTGAGGAAGCTGTAGAACAATTGGAGTACAAGCCTGAGGAGCTGAAGAACAAGCCTGAGAACCTGCAGCTTGGAGAGCATGGACTAATACGCAAGATGATGGGTCTGATATGCAAAGACTTTATGTACAGGGTCTGTAATAAATGTTCTAGTTAGTTTCAGTTACAACAGTTAACTGATTCTGTTTTTCAGTTTGTGCTTGTGCACGTTTGCTGTGTGCACGTTTGTTTCCTGGTTTCCAGAAACTGAGTCTGTATAAATAGGAGATTGTAAGAATCAAAAATCAACATGAATGAAATCTGAAGTTTTCTCTTCTTCCTAAACTCAATCTCACTAAACTCAATCTCAGTTCTCTCTCTTCCTAAACTCAATCTCAGTTCTCTCTCTGTTCTCTCTCTGTTCTCTCTCTCAACTCTCTATTGCAAATTCTTCTCAACCTTGTTTCAGGCTCATCATGGCCAGAAACAGCACTACCAGATTCGACAGAGGATTTGGATCCTCACAATGCCTACATCTCTTGATCCAGAAAAGCATTTCATTGCTTGTAATGTTCGATATTTTAATGCTATTGTTTTTGTGATGGCCAATCTTTATTATAAAATGCACACATGAATATGAAGTTCTAAAATTTTGTTGGTTTATTCTTCAGTGATAATTAAACAACAGATAAGATCCCAGTTATACACCCAATCAACCCATTCTCTATCTTACCTGAATAACCCAATGCAGTGTTTTAAATATCGGCCGACATGTCGGACATGTCGGCCGATATAGCGGATTGAGGGGTCCAACGACACAAATCGGGGAAAAACAAGTCGCATATCGTTTTTTACCGACATATCGGCCATATCGGCGAAAAATCGGCCATATCGGCCGATTTTCTTGTTTGGAAAATCGGCCATATCGGCCGATTTTCCTGTTTTTTCTTTTTTTCTTCTTCACACGTGAATGTTTGGTTTGTGGACTATTTTGATTAATAATAGGCTAATGATTACTTGATGTTTGATCACTTGATTAATAATAGGCTAACTGATTAATAATAGGCTAATGATTATTGATTAATAAGGAGAGATTTATTTTATTTTAAATGTGCATATGAATGTTGAAATGTGCAGAGTCATGAAGTTATGAATTTAGGAATGCTTAGATAGTTAGATTACATTTAGGGCATGATATTATACATATGTGGATCACCCGATATGGCAATCCGATATTTAGTCCATGTCCCCCGATATATCCCCGATTTCCGCTATCCGACATGGATTTCAGCCGTCCGACATGAACCCGACATCCGATATTTAAAACCTTGATATCAGACCCATCATCTTGCGTATTAGTCCATGCTCTCCAAGCTGCAGGTTCTCAGGCTTGTTCTCCAGCTCCTCAGGCTTGTACTCCAATTGTTCTACAGCTTCCTCAAACTTATTCTCCAGCTCAATTGACACAGCCTTGTTCTCCAACTCAATAGACAAGTTCTCAAGCTTATTACCTGTTCCTGACAATTTTCATCTCCTGCGCCATCTCCAGTTCCTGCTCGAGCTATCAGTCCTCCAAGCTTCCAAGGTCCTTGGCTCAATTGACAGGGCCTCTGGCTGTTCATCCGGTCCTGACATAGGGTTATTAGGCAATTTGGTTAATTACAATAATTAGGGCAAGGTTTACTGATTTTAAATTAGATTTAGAGGTAACTAATATTAGGTTTAGATTTTGGGTAAGGATTAGTAGGTAGTATTGATTAGGGTTAGATCTTGGTTAAGGATTAGTCCACTAAGGGTTAGGGTTATTAGGTAATTTGGCTAATTAAAATAGTGAGGGCTAGGTTTATTGATTTTAAATTAGTTTTAGAGGTAATTAATGTTAGGTTGAGATTTCGGGTAAGGATTAGTCCATTTAAGGTTAGATTTTGGGTAAGGATTAGTCAATACAGCCGATTAGGGTTAGATCTTGGTTAAAGATTACTCATTTAGAGTTAAGAGTGATGATTAGGAGGGGCGAAGGGGAGGTTGAAGATTTACCTTTTTTTTTTAGATCTGATATACTGGGAGAGGATGCCAGCGAGATTGACTGAGCGAAAGGCAGTGGTGAAGGCGGCAATCTTTGACGTTGAGCAGCGGCAAACTTTGATGACTTCGACGACGACAAGCGAGCGACGAACTTCGACGAATTCGACGACTTACACGACAACCTTCGACGACAAGCGCCGAACTTCGACGACTCTGATGATTTCGACAAGCGGGTGAAGAGCTATGGTGAAAAGTGAAAATAGATCTGGTGAAAAGTGAAAACTACGGGTGAAGGCTGAAGCGGCGGTTTTCAACTTTCACCAAAACGTCTCGCTTGTATTTTTTCTAGGATAGTGGGCCCTAGTTTTTTTTTTAATTTGAACCATCTAGAATAAATTCTTAGACTACTTACAATGGAGGTGTTGAAAATAGAATTCAACTGTTGAATTGGTTTAATGGAGTTGTTGAAGAGGGTGTTGAATCCCATTTGGATTAATTTGTGTTGAATTAATTCAACATGTTGAATGAGGAATGGGAGAGGACCACACACAGGAGAGAGAGAGTAGATTGGACACATGTCTTCATGCTATTGGGTGGTGGGATTTTTGAGAAAATAAGAATATGAAATAAAAGTGGTGGGGAAGGGTGTTGAATTTTATTAAACAAAACCATTGTAGAGTGTAAAAGTTGAGTGGGAGTTGAATTATTAGGTGGAAGAGAGAGAATATGATGTGGAGTGTTAAAAAGTAAAAAGTAGGGTGTTGAAAAACAAAACCATTGTTGATAGTCTTAAAGCAAGTGCAGCAAGCTCCCAGTTGAGAGTCCTAGTCAGCATGCTCTCAAGAGCTCTCAAACATTTTAGAATAAAAAATTAACAAATTAAGCATTGGTAGGCACTCCTTCTTTTATGGAGCTTCAATAAGCTCCTAGTTACGAGCTCCAACAATATCAAAAAAACTCATTTTCTATTTTAATATTTCACCCATTACTTTTAATTATATTTAAACCTCTTGTATTTTATTTATAACCGTTGCACACGGTCTTCGAGGCAACCCACGGTCTTCGAGGGAGCGCACACGGTCTTCGAGGTAACCCGCGGATTTCGAGGGAACGCACACGGTCTTCGAGGTAACCCGCGGTCTTCGAGGTTGGGCACGAAGTTCGAGGCGTCGCAAACTTTGACCGTCAACCGACTGGTTCCTATAAAATTCGATGGCTTCTCTCCTCAACCCATCATCTCCCAGAATAAAATGTCTAGCTCATCTAGCTCTAGAGATGATGAAATGATAAAGACGTTCTTTCTTATGGGAGCTGCTGTCGTTGAGGAAGAAGAAGAAGAGAAATGTTCAACTTCAGTTCAACACAAACGACGTATCGTGCTCCATCGAAACCGACTAGAAGGCCACAATCGGTTATTCCAAGATTATTTTGCTGACGCACCAACCTATCCTCTTTATTATTTTCGTCAAAGGTTCAGAATGACGCGTTGCAGTCGTCGAACATGACAAGTACTTCGTCCAAAAGAGGAATGGTGCTGGACAGTTAGGACTATCTAGTCTTCAAAAGATTACTGCAGCTATGCGGATGCTCGCATATGGAGCATCCGCTGACTCCGTTGATGACTACGTTCGGTTCGGTAAAAGTACGTCGCTTAAGAGCGTGAAGAGGTTCATTCGATCGATTATCAACATCTTTGGAGAGGAATACCTTCGCGCACCGACTAATGAAGACATTGCACGCCTGCTCAAGGAAGGCTCACAACGAGGTTTTCCTGGTATGCTTGGGAGCATCGACTGCATGCACTGGACATGGAAGAACTGTCCAACTGCCTGGCAAGGTATGTATACTGGACATTTTCATGAACCTACAATTATTTTGGAGGTCGTAGCTAGCAAAGATCTTTGGATATGGCATGCTTTCTTTGGACTGCCGGGGTCTCACAATGACCTTAATGTTCTACATCATTCACCTGTTTTCGCACAACTTGCGGAGGGAAGAGCTTCATCGTGCAACTATACTATCAATGGCCACGAGTATAATATGGGATACTATCTCGCCGACGGGATTTACCTAGAGTGGTCCACTTTAGTGAAGACTATTCCAGCACCTCGAGGAAACAAGCATAAGTACTTTCCTAACAACAAGAAAGCGCAAGAAAAGATGTTGAGTGAGTTTTTGGCATGTTGCAAGCTCGATTTGCGATTGTTCGTGGACCAGGACGTTTCTGGCAACCTTGTGTGCTGAAAGATATCATGACAGCTTGTATCATAATGCATAACATGATCGTTGAAGATGAACGTGATTGTCAATTGGACAACAACTTCGACTTTACCGATTCGGTACCAGTCGTTGAACCTTCTCATGTGCAGACGGTGCCTCTAACTGAGTTCATCCAAAATCATCATCGGATCAGGAACACGCAAACACACAAATCACTAAAAAATGATTTGATCGAGCATCTGTGGCAGCTTAAGGGATCCATCGCCGAGGATTAAGTTTCTTTATGTCTAATGTAATTTCAGAAAAAGAGTTCAAGTTGTTGTACTACGCCAATTTTATTTTCAATAAAGTAGTTGTTTTCATTCAATGCCAAAATTTTCAACTTCAAGTACAATCATAAATCTAATATAAGATAATATTTGGTAATTAGGAAGAACTAATGAGGATGCGATCGAGTACAATATATGATAATTAGGAAGAACCCTTGGACATCCATCTCTCCAATATCTCTGTCTGACGCATTTCAAAGTATTGTCGTTGAACTGAATTGAGGGTTGAGAGATCGATCTTCATGATATCGTCATCTTGTTTCTTCTGTTTTAGCTCCATTTTTTCTTTGTTGGTTTGCTTCATCCACGCGAAAGCCTCTCCCATAATGGACTTAGCGGACTTAGATTTGTCCACATTTTGTTTCCTCTTGAGTTTTTGCCGCTTTCCTCCCTTCAAGCCTTGCTATAACATCATCCGAGTCAATGTTCAACTCGATGGGGGTCGCTGGCATGGAATTGTTTGGTGAGGAATCAGAGTTCGTGGTTCTTCTCGGCTGTGATCGTATCTTATTGTAAGTTTCCATTTGTTGGTTCCATTTTTGGTGATGACGCAACTCAACCCAGCAATGGTCCAACACAAATGGCTTACCATAAAGGGATTGGTATAATTCTTTTACTTCTGCAGTCTACATAAGAGTTAAATTTAGAATAATCAAACATATAAGTTAAATATTTACATAAAAACATATAAGTTAAATATTTACATAAAAACATATAAGTTAAATATTTACCTGGTCAATAATTCCCGTACCAGATCTTTGTCTTCCTTCAATCTGAGTAACGCACCCGCAGAACTTATTGACCGACAGTTGAATCGTTGACCAACGGTGCATCATTTGGTTCGGTGTGCTACTCGTTGGATCGGTGGAGTATTGGATAAAGTAGTCGTTAGCTCTGTGCCAGAACTTATCTTTGTGTTTCCCTGTGCCTTGGATGGAGTCTTGGCTCGTGTTCAGCCAAGCAGACACAAGAAGCTTATCCTCGTGGACAGTCCAATTTTCGGACCGCGTGTAAGCCTTCTTCTTCTTTGTGGTCGGTGTTTCTTGGGATGACACTTGTTGTATTGCTGATTGCGAGAACTCGATGGGGTTACCTTCTTCTACGATTTCTGTATAGAACGACAAGTATAAGGTCGATTCTTCACCGGTAAGGACTTGTGAATAATAGTTTTGTGAGGGATCCATGAGATTTGTAATTTGATAGGAAAATATTGAGTTTTTATGAGAGAATTGTGTGGAATGATTTGTGTAGTGAATTGAGAATTTATAAAAAAATTTACTGTGCAACGACTAATTTTTTTACTGTTCAACGGCTAATTTTTTTCGATTGTTCAACGGCTAATTTTTTTATTATTTAACGGCTAATTTTTTTGCGATTGTTCAATAGCTAATTTTTTTACTGTTCAACGAGTATAGAGTTTTTCTTACTGTTCAACAGTCATTTTTTCACACAACGGTAATAATTTTCACTCAACGGACATTTTTTCACCCAACGGTAGTATTTTTCAATCAACTGCGAAGTTGAAAGCTAATTAAAAAAAATTACATCACAAGCTCAAAACGAACATCAACCCTTCTTCTTCATTTCCCCAACTCTTCAAATCTTCGTCCTCAAATCTTCAAAAATCTTCGTCCCCAACTCTTCAAATCTTCGTCCCCAAATCAAAACTCCAGTCCTCAAATCTTCCTTGTCAAAAATCCGAGCGCCCCCGTCGACCCTTCGTCATCTTCGCCCCAACCGAGCGCCACCGTCGAATCAAGCCCTCTCCCGCAACCTCCGCCGCCTCCGACTGCATGCGGGTCTAACTCAAGCCCTCTCCGCCCCGTCAAATCAAGCCCTCTCCGCCCCAACCGCACACTAAAGGTTTGATTTTTGGCTTCAATTTTGGGCAGATTTTATTTTTTTCAGTTCTGCAATTATGAACTTATGAGGGGGATTTTGTTAAAATATTTACCAGTTGGGAGCTCCCAAGCGATCCACAAATTTGTGGAGCGCTTGGGAGCTCGGAAGCTCCCCAAGGCCACGTCAGCCTTAGGAGAGGGGCTTGGGAGGGGTTCAGAGCTTGTTGGAGGGGGGGCTGCCAACTTCCACGGCCACGTCAGCCTTGAGAGCCTCCTTCAGAGCTTGCTGCCCTTGCTCTTAGATGGTAGATCCATCTAGGATACACATAATCTAGACGGTTTTTCTTAGATGGTTATAGTCTGACTATGATAAACCATTATAGACGATATTTCGTCCGCCTAGAATGTGCCATCTAGGATGATCGAATCTCCACTAGTGTAATAGTAGGATATTCTCATTCTTTAACCCAAATCTATTATCTTTTGGTGAGTTTGGCCTTCCGATATCGCCTCTTATTGGCGAAGCAAAGGCAATCCTCAAAGCTCTCCAAATTGCAAAATCAAATGGCTGGAGGAGAATTCACGTTGAATGCAATTCTTTATGCCTTGTTCATATGCTTCATGATGTTATGCATATCCCCCAAGTACCGATTAAGCTGGTTGGTGATAGTTGACAACTGTTCAAAGATTTCGAGGTTATATATGTTCAACAAATTAGGAGATCTGGCAATACATGTGCTCATTGCCTAGCTCAATTTACAATCAGATACAAATGTACCTTTCTCTCAGACTTTTAAGAGGGTCTAGACTAATGTGTAATCAAATTATCTACGAGACAATTTAACTGAGTCCATATTTTGGACTCACTTTCTCTAGGGGGAAAAGGCTCACGTTATTCACGTTTCTAGGCGTTAATGGGCCTTTAACTTAGTACATATGTATCTGATTGTCTAGCTCAATTTACAATCAGATACAATTGTACCTTTCTCTCAAACTTTTCAGAGGGTGGAGACTGTATGTGTAATCAAATTATCTATAAGACAATTTAACTAAGTCCATATTTTGGACTCACTTTCTCTAGGGGAAAAAGGCTCAACATTATTCACGTTTCTAGGCGTTACTGGGCCTTTAAC